CACTGCTGGTGGGAGTGCCAACTCACAGCCACTTTGGAGATCAGTGTGGAGATCCTCAGTAAAATGGGAATCAGTCTACCAGAAGATCCAGCATTTCTACTCTCAAGCACATACCCAAAAGATGTGCATTCATAAAACAAGAGCATCTGTTTCACTATGTTCATAGCAGCGTTATTTGTAATAGCCAGAACCTAGAAACAACCTAGATTCCTTTCAACTGAAGAGTGGATAGAGAAAATGTGTTACACTTACACAATGAAGTACTATTCAGCAGAAAAAAAACAATGGGTTTTTGAAATTTGCCGGCAAATGGATAGCACTAGAAGAAACCATCCTGAGTGAGGTAACCCATACACAAAATCACAAACATGGTATGTACTCTCTCATATATAGATTTTAGACAGGGGATTGCCAGCGTACAATCCACACCATCAGAGAGGCTAGGGAACAGGGAGGACCCTAAGAGAGATGCATGGTACCCTGGAGAAGAGGAATGGGACAGGATCTCCTGAGGGGATTGGGAGCATGGGGGATGGGAGAGGGATCTGGGAGAATGAGAAGGGGCAAAGGAGGACATGGAGAAGCAGGAAGGTTGAGTCTGGGAAGGATAGAAGAGAGCAGGATGAGAGATAATAATAGAGGGAGCCATTATAGGTTTGAGGAGAGATCTGGCACTAGTGAGATTTCCAGATCTTCAAGGATGACACCTACTGGCAATCTAGGCAATAGTGGAGAGGTTACCTTAATTGCCTTTCCCCAATAATGAGATTGATGACCACCTTATATGCTATCTTAGAGCCTTCATCCAGTGGCTGATGGAAGCAGGGGCAGATACCAAAGCTAAATGCTGAACTGAACTCCTGGAACCCAGTTGCAGAGAGGGAGGAGTGATGAGCAAAGGGGTCAAGGCCAGATTGGAGAAATTATCTTAAAAATAGAACCAGCATGGGACTGAACCAAGTCCCCTGAATGTGGGTGTCAGTTAGGAGGACTGGGCAGTCTATCGGGCCTCTGGCAGTGGAACAGTATTTATCCCTTGTGTATGAATGGACTTTGGGAGCCCATTTCCCCATGGAGGGATACTCTCTCAGCCCCTAGGCCCTTCCCCAAATGATGTGACAGACTTTAATGATCCCTCATGGAAGATCTCACCCTCCCTGGGGAGTGAATGGAGGGTGGGATGGGACCATGGTGTGGAGTATGGAAGGATGGGAGGGAGAGGGAACTGGGATTTATATGCAAAATAAGATTGTTTCTAAATTAAATAAAAATGTATAAAAAGAGAAAGAAAAATAGGTAAGTCTATGTGTAGTCAAAACAGACTTTCTCCCATTATATTATTTACTAATTCTTATATGCTCACATCTATAATCTATAAATTATGTGGCACATGTAAGAAAATGAGTATGATGATGGATATAGGCAATGTATCTGGAGGAACATCAGGATAATACATATGGTTTTTAGAGAACACAATTCTATTATATCAGTGGAATTATTTGTAATCACTTACTGACCTCGTTGCTTTTCTGTTTTGTGGTAAAATATCCTGAAAATTTAATTTATTTGCAATTCCAGGTTGCAGCCCATTGTCTTGGGGAAGTTAGGGCAGTAACAGTTAGGACAGCCTCCCCAAATCAAGAGCTGAGAGAAAATAAATGTGTTCATCTATGCTTCCTTTTTTGCCATTCAGCTACCTTTTTATTTTTCTTTTGCATAGTACCTCTGAATAGAGGATGGTGCTGCCCATAATAGGCTAGATTTTCCTTCATCAGGTAACAGTCAAGAAAAATCCCCATATCCCTATATACATGCCACATACCAACTTGAGCTAATAATTCCTCTTTAGGTTTCTCTTCCCAGGTGACTCTAGGTTGTGCCAAATTGACAGTTAAAACTAACCTCTGCAGTTACTAGTAATGCCATTTATAATGTTAGTTTGTAGAAATTAAAAATAATTTATTACTTTAGAATAATTTTCATCTTCATTAATAAGGCATGCTTCTTGATTGTAAGAACTTTGGCTTTCCAGATAAATATTTCAGGGCTATATGAATATTCTTCATTTAAACATCTTCTGTTTTGTACAATTTAATTAAATTTATTTTCTGCATAAATTATTTTATCAAATGCATAGTTATTGGAGCTTTCTTTGTGCCTTGACTTTTCTAATCCTGGGGATAGAGAATATTAGAGAAATAGAAAGTATCACTATCTAAATATTTGCGTTCTTGTACAGAAAGACACTAATCCAACAGAACAAAATATAACATGAGATGTTATGAGGGTTAGGTAGAAAATTAGAGAAGGTAAGCATGAAAATCACAGAGTGATGTATCAGAATATAACTCAGTTCACAGAAGGCCTTACTAGTGAAGAGGTATTTGAGTAGCCTGAATAGTAGTGGATGTAGGAAGTCAGGGCATCAAGCACTTGGCATGTAAGAATAGATGTACATATGATTCATACCCCCAGTGGTTTTTATCTTTTATCTTTATCCCCATCAGGTAACTTAAAGTCGAAGAATTCTTAGCATTGGACTTAGAATTAGGGCCATGGGGTATGCTCTCTTGATTTGAACATCCTTGGACATGGCTGTTTACCTCTCCATGACTTTGTTTCTGAATCTCTAAATTATCATCATTTAGGTGAAACAGACAGACTGAGGTTCCATAGTCATTCTTCGGATGAATATTGGTTGAAAGTATGGCTCCCATAATTAACTTCAAAGCTATTACACAGTTGTTTTGCCCAACTTTAGTGGGTTCTTTGTTATATCAATATTGTTTACTTATATTGGCATGCCCTGGCATAGCCATTATAGCTGCTTTTACAGAATTTTTATAGATTGTCACTTTTGGTTTTATAGATTCTCACTTTTCTTTTCATTAAAACGTCATGTGAGTATAGTGTGCGCGTGCTCGTGTGTGTGTGTGTGTGTGTGTGTGTGTGTGAGAGAGAGAGAGACAGAGACAGAGAGACAAACAGACAGAGGAGACTGGGTGCACACAGTATATTTGTAGACGAAGGAGGACAACCTCACATGTTTGTTCATACGTTTTACCCTGCTTGAGTTTTCTTTTTCTTTTTGTTGTTCTTTGAAAAATGAACTTAAGCATAGTTAGCCCAGGAGTCTCTGAGAGTTCCAGTTTTAACCTCCCAGTTTGCTATAGGAGAGCTCAGACTGTAGATGCACGCTACTGTCCCTGGCTCTATGTGATTTCTGGGGATTCAAGTTCCTCACACACATGTTCAGAGGATCTAACACTGCGTTATCTCTCTAACCATAACCCTTCTTTTAACATTATGACTACTACTAACATCATTACTACTAATAATGGGAATACAAGCATTTTCCAGGCTGGTAAATTTAGACAGATCTTGACGTCTTGTTTCAGTCGGCTCCCAGATTTGCCATTCTTTGTGTCCATTGGACCGCCATTAGCTCAGGGGATTGGCAACAACTCCAGGGAGCAGAGTTACCACGTGCCCACCTGAATCTGTGAAAACTCTACAGCTCCATGTTCCATGTTGCATGGTTTTCAACTCGGTCACAAATTATTCTGTCAGATCCGTGTACTACAACAAACTGGCACTTTTGTTTTTTAAATTAAGCCATTCTTGTGATGGATATTCAGTTTGGCATAAAGCTATGACATGACTGGTGTGAAAATAGCTTCCAACTCTCACTGCCTAGTGCTGCACACTGGGCATGGGAAAGACTTAGGAGAGAGCTAGATCGTCCTGTTACAGAAACCTGTCTGGAACCAGGGAACTGACAGTCCCCTCCCTTTCCTGCAGTCTAGTATTTCTCTACTTGTTTTCATCCAAAGCAATGTTTCAAGTCATTGAGGGCTCATTTATGCCCAAACACTCTCCATCATTATCTCCCAGATCACTGTGTGTTTTCAGAGTTATTTCAGGCTTGCAAAACAGCCAGGGACTCCGAACATAGAACCATCCAGAACCACTTAATTCACTCATCTATTTCCTCCATTTCATTTGTTCCTCACAGGAAAGCAAAAAATGAAGTTCCAAGTTCATTTTTCAATGAGATGATGCCTTTCAGTTATCAGTAAATTGCATCTTAAGAGCAAGAATGTTTCTCTGGATGATGGGAACAGAGAGTGAAATATTACACCAATTTAAAATGCTATTACCTGCTTGCATTCCCAATATCTTTCCCCTTAGTAGTACTGTTCCTACATAGGAAGCAAGTTTTTTATATTATTATTATCTCCTTCTATTTTCTTCACCCAGGGAGCCTCATTAGAGAAAGAAAGTAAAGGTAGATACATTTGACAGCGTGAGACAAATGATGCGTCCTCACAGTTCTCTATGAGGCACCTTGGAAGTTACTGTTCAGACATCTGCCTCTGACTCTTTGGGCATCTGTGTCAGGAGGGACATAGGGCTGGAGTTCAGCATGATTAGCATCTGCAGGAAGGCGCCCACATGAGGTTGAGATGGTAAGGACGTGACCCCACAGGCCATGTGGAGACCCAGTATTGTCTAACCCTGCCCCTGAAGACTGGTTCTGTATAATGATTATAAATAGGATGTTTCTCACTCCTTTGCATGCCTCCCCAAAGACACACCCTATGGGGGAACACTCTTTACGTATCCTTTCTTTTGTTCCTACTCTCTCTTTATTTGAGAAATGATGATAGCAACCTAGTATTTTTGACACGTGCAATTGGAAACATAAAGATTACAGCTTTTGACAATAGCCAGACACAAGCTTACAACTATCTAAAGAGCTTCTTTCCTTCTCTCTGGAATAGTCTCTCCCAAGGCATATGTTATAATAACATTTTACAGCATTAAAGGCATACAGTCTTTCTGCCCACATGCGCACCCTTCTCCACAATGATCTGAAACTTTGGGGCGGGGCAGAGGAAGTCTGGATGAATCTGATCAAATACATTCTACATTTATGTGAAACCCTCAAACAACAAATAAAAAACATATTTTAAAAATGAAATAAAACTACGACTCACTGTCATCATGCCATCAAGAAGACCAGTCTCAGGTCTGGGCGGGGCCTGCAACCTTTCCATGGACCACTTCTCAATGATGGATGACACGTGAGGGTTGTCAATATTCAGCAGCCGAAACCCAGTCATATTTACACCACTGTACCTGTAGAGTTCCAGATCTAAAGCGAACAAGTCCTGTGCAGTGTTACAAAGACAAAAGTAGAAATTAATTAGCATTATTGATGTTTTTGATATGAAAGAAAATAATAATTTCAGAAGCAACAGAAAGATGAAAACACAAACGGCAGTGTTGCCACACCCTGCCTATGAGAGAATGTTAAGTTTGGATAAATGAAGAAGAAGAATTTACCAGTAGTTTGTCTGGCTTTGGCCCTTGGAAATGGGATTTGAAAACTAAGAATTCTCTTCCTAGGATACAGTCTTTGAGGAGTTTGATGAAATCTTTATGTCCCTTTGCCTCTATTTTATTTTATAGCTGAAGGAAGAAGTTCTCAGTCGTGACAATACCACAAAGGAATCACTGGGCAGTGGCAGATCAGCCATGCTCAGCACACGACTGCTTCAGGGTGCTCTGGGTCCTGCTTCTGAGGGGAAATGTGGAATTGGCACGTGACTGTGAAGAAAGAGGACTTCTAGGCAGGAAGAATGGCATCCTGTGGCTCTCTGGTGACAATCTTATTTCATCCAGCAAACTCCGGACTCACTGGAGAAGGGATCAAAATGAGGGCTTTTAAAGAGAATATATCGAACCCTTTGTTTGTAGGCATGTGAAGACTTCCAGGAGGCTCATTTTGTCTTCAACCGAGTATAAGAAAATGTGCCTAACCCACCCCAGTGTTTTCCAGAACAGATGAAGCTGGATGTAAACCAGAAATGTATCACTAGATATATATTTAAAACAGAATGGTCATCTCAATTTTTATAAAAAACCTTTAGAGTAAAACCACACCACTAAAAATATTCCACATTAGAGAAGAAGCTAAGGAGGTCAGAAATAACAGAAAAAAACGTTCACGCCGACATTGTCTAGCAATGAAAAGGCATTCTGAAACGGAGTCCGATGAGGTTCAGCTGTGGTGAGGATGGCAGTTACTCAGGCAGTGGCACTGGATTCCATCACAATCCTTATAGAAGATGTGACTCTCTCACTCTTCTGTAAATGGCTTCTAGTTGCTGCCCCGTTCCCAGGATAACTTTGGATTGGGCAGTGGAGTTGTAAGAGCACAGCCCTGCTCTGCTAGCTCTGGGTCAAGAAAGCTACACTGCCTTTTTATATGTATTCATTCTTTAAGAGTCTGACTCTGGTGTGGGTATGTGCAACTGAGTGGAGGTGCCCGTGGAGTCTAGAAGAGGACATCTGATCACCTGGCAATGGAGTTGCAGCCAGTTGTGAGTCTCTTACTTCCCAATGTGGGTGCCGGGAATACCAAATACTCCAATCTTCTCTAAGAGCAGTGTGTGCTCCTAACCACTGAGCCATCTCTTCAGTCCTATACTGCCTTTTCAACATTATAATATATACCCTCTATCTCTCTCTATACATATATGTGCGTGCACGTGCGCACACACACACACATACATACAATATATATGTATATATATATATATATATATATAGAGAGAGAGAGAGAGAGAGAGAGAGAGAGAGAGAGAGAAAGAGAGAGAGAGTATGTGTGTAAAATTTGTATTTTCTTAGTGTTCAGAAAATTTTTGTTAATGCTTCTGGTCCAACTTGGCTAGAATATGAAAGTAATACGACAGAATGCAGATCATAATGTAGGTAAACACAAACCAATACAAAGAATAAGAGCTGGGACGATCATCTCTTTAGCACATTCAGTGAGTAGAGGGAAAGTTACTTAGTCACAGAAAATTCTAGCATGTGTGCTAAATCTCATATGAGGAATATTTCAAACGTGTGTAGAGTTTAGCTGTCCTGCAACTTGACATTTCTATGCAATACAGAAGGCAGAAAATTCCTATCTGATTGCCACATCTCCTATGAATGCAGAATGAGGAGGTCGGGAGAGTGAGGAGTGGACCAGAATGAAAACTGAGCAACGTGTTCTTCTTCCATTGAGGACCAGCCTTCCTAGGTTCTACGGTTCAGTCTCGGAAAGAGGTCCCAAATCAGCTCTTCTGGGTGTGTGTTGCTGAGGCTGAAAGGACTTTCAGAGAACTGAGGTCACTTGGTTTTCATGGTTACAGGGAAGGGTCCTATCTGTGAGTGGAGTAATGTTCTTCGCTGACACCGAAGTCACCTTCGACTGTCCTGAAAGTGGAGTTGATGTGGTCAGCAGCAACACGGAGGCACGAGGTCAACGAAGCGTGGGTGCAGGAAAAGCGTGGGTGCAGGAAAAGCGTGGGTGCAGGAAAAGCATGGGTGAAGGAACTTGCCTCCACGTTCTTCCCCTGCCCACCACAAGCTCGTGGCACGGTGTACTCTGTACCCTTTATGCCTTCAGGGATACTGCTAGAACATTTGCTGTGCTTGCTTTATGCTCCGGGCTCTGAATCCTTTGGTTCCCACACTCTTCAGCTTGGCCGATTATCCATTTTATTTGCGAAGACAGTAACTTAAAGACCACCCTACCCAGAACCTAGGCAGGTTATTCCTGATAAACCCTTAAAGATTACAAACAAAATGGCTGACCAGAAAGAGGAAAGATTATAAAGAAAACTTACACAAATTTTCTTCTCGTGTAAGAAAGTGGAATTTATCCTGCAGGTGTTTGGAGAGAGTTGTATATATTACGGGTCTATTTATTGACATCTGAGGTCAACTGAGGGGCAGCTATGATTTTGGCAGATTAATTAACTTTGGTAAACGCTCTTTAATTAAATAATCCCACAAAATTTAACTGTCAGAGATACTTCTGGACTTCTTAAACTGTGAGCCATTATTTTCCTCAGTGGTGCAGAATGATCAATACATGCAGTGCCTCCAAAATTTCACTGTTTGAAACTTTCCCAGGTCCCCTCCAGGTGACTGACTATCTTAATCCCTTGTCTCCTGGACACAGGCAGGAATGCAGCTTTATCACATCAAAGGATTCCAGGTCACACTTCAACACTCTTCTGAATGAACGTAGAAATTACAGAGGGTGCTTCTTTATGACTAGCTCCTGGTCTAATGGGATTTCATCACCTTTCTGATGGACATGCATTGATGATCCTTTTGTAAAAAGAAACAAAGATACCTGCTGCTCAGCATCACTGAGTTTAGAGGAATCTTGGGAAAGTAAAGAGAATCTCAATGACAATAGCCTGGAGGGGCTCTTTGTGAAATAAAGAATAAAATACATTCTTACTGGAAGCACTCACCAGGGTTGTGAAGAAGTAGTGATAGTATTCAGTCATCATGCCCATGAACAATATCTGCAACAGAGATATGAGGGAAAGAATCAGAAGTAAAATTATAATAGGAAGCAGAGAGCATCAGTATCATGTCTATAAAAACTCTTGAACACGGAATTTGGAAATCTGCACACCCAGTAGATTAGCAACCTGAGGCCAATTAGTGGTTGGTGAGGTGGCCCCTGAATTCCAATTCGTTTTATATCATTGGACTTACACTGATGTAATCGGTCTGATGATCAAATTTAAAAGTAGTTTCTGAGAAGCAAATATTATATTTGGAGTTGTGTATGATGACATAGGGCTTTGTCGTTTCTGTTCTGTAAGCTTCCAAAAGCAACCTCCTAATTTAAATGATTGGGTAGTCGTTATCCTTAGTACAATGCTTTTCTCAAATTAAAAGTCATTGTATGTTGACATGGTAATGCTAGTATGTAGATGTATTCAAATGAGGCTTCATAACTGAATGTGTCTCTGAAAACTTACCACATCTTTCTCCTTTTACCCAACATCACAAATAGATGAGGACCAGACTTAGACCAAATTCACATTACGTTTAATTTCTTTTATTTCAGCATCGTTTAATGTATCATGGTAGAACTAGCAGCCATCTATATTTCTAGGAATCTTTTGTACATTTCTTTTTCTTCCATTATTTTAATGCACAAAATGATATCATTATGACGTTGTCATGTATGCATATTATCATGCTTGCTGTTTTTCTATACCCTTCACTGTCCTTTCCATTCTCTATTTGCCCAAATTGTCCCTCTTTTGATTGTACACCACACACACACACACACACACACACACACACACATCAAGATTTCACAGTTGAGAGAAAATATGCTTTTTAGAGCTTATTCTCAGTTACATCTTTAGGATCTTGATATTTCCAGAGACTCCATAAACTCATACACTGTTTTATTTGTTGAGAGAAGAGGAAGGTAGCTATGAGGCAGAGTGGTAGAAGGCAGGTAGTTTATTGAGCAGTGATCCTACTTTTGTGCTCAATGCAGCAGAAAATGTTTCAGATGGCTTCCTACATCTTCTAAGTCACGGTATTATCTTCCTCATTGCTGGGTTTCATAAACACTATTTGGGTGCTACTTATTGTTCTTGGTTTTGGAATGAAGAAAAAATTCACAAGTTACATTTCTGAAGCACTCCTCCCAACCCCCGACACATCTTGCAAGCTCTGTATGCAAACCACACTCTCTCTGGAAGTTTTTAAGTCAGGGTTTCCTGAGCCCCATCAGAGAGCCATTGTGGGTCAGAACACCTAAGGTGGTAGAGCATCGCTGATCCTGGGGAACATCTACCTTGGCAATGAAAAAAACAAAGACGCTTAGAGCTTAGACTAAAGAGATGGATGAGAAAAGTATAGGTAAACTCAGCACGAGTTGCAGAGGTTCTGCCCAAAATTTGCAAACTTGAATGACTTCACGTGAAAAAGGATAAGAAACAAAGAGAAGAGTGCATTTAAAGGCAGCAGTAACAAAGTGTGGACACTCAGGAGACACTTGTCTCTGCTAACCTGGGAAGCAGAGGCCATTAAGTGAAGCTGTGATGTGTGAAAGTAAGATGAATAATGGGAAACTTGCTGGGATTCATGAGCTAATGGCACCTGAGTTGCTTCCTTGGTGCTAACAAGATCAGGCATGCAGGTTTTTTTTTTATTAAGGTGGACTTGCTTTAGCTCCATCAATAGCATTTAGAACTTTGCATGGTGAGGTGTTGTTGACTGGTTTCTTATATATAAAGAACAGGCAAGCCAGGATCAGGCAGGCATCCAGTTGCCCAATTTGGTTATTGGATAATGTAAAAGGAACTGTGTAAATTGTATGTTAAGATATGAATCTGGACACTGAATTTAAAGTATTATTTCTGGAATTGAAACTGAAATACAAATCCACCTGAGTGGAGCGTGTACAGCTTTCATTTTGACACATTTTTCTTTTTGAGCCTTGTAGACAGTTTTGATCCCCCGTTGTGAACATGAACACTTTTAAAAAAGAAAACAGTCATTTAAGTCATTATTTTATGATTGTTTTTATGATTCCTGGAGGCAAATACTCATTTGCTGTGTGTATTCAGTGTTAGAAATGGGATGCGGCAACAGAGTGAGCAGCAACTGGTGGGTGGGCCTGCTTCCATTGCAGAAGGGACCCTTGGGTCCTCCAGCTGGACTTTGCGTTTGATGAACCACACATGCTCTGATCTCTTTCCTAGCTAGGCATTAGGGTTAGTATCTCTCGACTTTATCCTGGTTTTCCTAGAAGTGACGAAACAAGTGCAGAGCCGTTGATCATAACCCTATCAACTTTGTGGACATTCCAGAATCAGAGGAGAGAAACCCTTCAAGATAAAGCAATGAGAAAGCCCCAAGACTGTTGGCTGTCCTTCACAGAGGCCTGTAGATTGGTAGGGATACAAAGTGCAGTCTTCTGAAAAGCTTGCTCTATAAGCACCACTTTACGACTTTTTCTTTGGATGTTGCTATTTCAACTACTATCAGGAAGGGTTTAAGAAAAATGTCACATCAGGATAAACGTCAGTTTTAAAAACAAAAATGTATAATCATGACATTAGAGTTTTCTAGTAGTTTTTCCCAGTGCTGAGTTTTCCCTATGACCGCCTTCTCTGAATTCTTATGCCATGTTTATCTGCTGAATTGCTAAGTGGTGTTCACTTTACTGAGGTAGCATTATAGGACATAGTTCTGCTTGAATTTAAACCAGTATGCATGCTTCTCTAAATTAACATTGCTTAGCACAACATTCTGCTTCTGTTTAAATCATTACATCACAAACAATTCTGCTGTGTAACAAATGTGATATCAATTGTGTCATATTTAGGTATACTGTCTGTTCTCCTTAATTTATTACACTAATATTGTCTTCTAATTATACTAGTTTCCCAATATAATTATTATCAAGTAAGTTGTGATGTCATATCATTGGCGTAGAGAGGGATAAATCTCAGTGAGGCATGGTTACACAAGGCTGAAATCTCAGCATTGAGGAGGCTCAGGGAATAGGTTTGCAAGGTCAAATCCAGCCTGAGCTACACAGGGCAGAAGATGGAGTAGGGGGAGGATGTGCTCACTAGTTTGGATGTCATTAATTCTGTTTGCTAAATTTCTGGTCCAATGGGCACATGACAGGATGGTAAGTCCTTGTGCTTATGTGAGGTCATGTACTGTCTCTAGCCAACAAGATGGGAAAGATAAGGACATTTGCCACCTTGATAGATCTAGCATATTGGAAGCTTGGTTATCAGCACTGATAGAAGCTATTCTTTTTTTTTTTTTTTGAGTGTCTTTTTTCTTCTTTCATAAGTACCAGAAGTCATGTAAATGATCATGCTAACACATTTGTTTTGATTTTTAGGAAAGTTAAGGCTACAATCATGAGCTCTGCAGTTAGAAACACAGGTATATATACTTGTATGCACAAATACCATCCAGGTTTATGTTTCTCTTAACCAGCTTTCCCCTTCCAATTCACCTTTTTAAATAGACATTGTCATTCTGTCTCAAATGTCTTTTTCTGGGCTGCTCTAATTCTTTATAGAATAATGATTTTATAAAGAAATAATCATGGTTGGGACAAGCTAGATATCTTATTTTTTCCCTAAAGAATGGTAGACTGTTTCAGTGTAATGTAGCTGGGTCAGGTTAGTGTAACAGGAAGTCCTTTGACCAACTCCATGCTCCAGCAACTCCAGTAACAACTTGATAGTGAGTCATACTCTGTATTACTTGAGGTTCAGATTTAAGAACTCAAAAGAGACTAATAGTGAAAGAGGCAAGATCTGCATCCTTAGGACATTGCATTATCCCTTCATTACACAATCCAGAAAGAGGAAGGATGGCGTTTGTCTCTCTGAATGATTTTACTGCTGAGGTAGGAAAGGCGACATGGCTATTATTTTTTTTAATTAATAAATATTTTATTTCATAATTCTAAAAGAATTATCAAAGCTAATAAAGTAACAAATCTAAGTTCTTAAAATAACTTTACCTAAACAATCAGCAGCATCAGTTACCCTGTCATGATTTTGTACTTTCAATATCTGAGGTCCTTTAATTTTGTTAATTTTCTTTTTTTTATTATGTAACAATCAACTCAATATAATTTTTATTATATAATATAAATGAATGTAAACAAATTTTCATTCAACATACTCATTAACCAAATGAATTCTCTATCTACCTCTGGAGGAGGCATAAATATATACCTGGGCCTGTTGGCAGTAAAAATGTCAGTACCAAATATAGATTTTAACAGATTAAAGTCAGTGAGGACATGGCTATTATTTTGCTTCAATTTTTACTTTCTTTTATTTGTATCTAGAATTGATCTGCATATGGTAGAACAAAAGCTCAATGCCATTTGGTTCCTAAAAGGACATTTCTAATGGTTCTACTAATACTAGTATTTTTGGGACACAGATACTACTCATCAACAATGGTAATACCACAGTGTTCCAACTGCCTTGTGAGGTTTTAGCAACAACTGTCAGGAACACTGTATGTAGTTCCAATGGTCTAGCTCTGTTATCCTTAAGATGAGCACTTAGAATTTGATGGGTGGCTATCAAGTACACTGAGCAACACAAAGTCCATACGATCATGTGTTTTCTAAGATATAACTGAGATTTAGATGTAGAGGACATCATTTATAGGGGCATAAGGTTTGTGGTTGCGGTAGAGTCATATTGTGAGAGAGGGAGCCAAGCATCTCTTAGTCTGAAGAGTACTGGACCTTCACTCTCTTCTGTTAAGTCAGTAACATGCTACAGAGACAGCAAAAGCAAGTATCATCCATGACTTACTCCCAACATCCATCATTAAGGGCAAGCCATATATCAAAAATCATGGGCATTATATAGTATCTATAGTATCAAAGCTTTAAAATAGAGCCTGGAGTTTGCCTGGTTAAGGGTTTGGGGGGTGTAATATTTGTATGGCTTTTTGTTTCTTCCCTCAAAAAATACATGTCCTGGAAGTTTATATT